AAATATGAATATTGCAATTGCTGAAGGCCATGGCTATCGAGTTTATCGGTGGAATAAAGCAACTGAAGGTCAAGAAGTGTACAGCTGCATGGACTGCGAGTCGTTACGAAGAACAAAGAACGATCCGGTAAGCGAATTTTGACGCACTAAATGTGAAAAAATCCCCGCAATTCGTTCTGTTAGTTTTCGGCATGGATAGGTTTCTCGGAAAAAGTGGGGACATTCGTAAATAGCCCAGGTGTTTGCGTATGCAGCTGCAGTCTCCAGTGCTATCGATAGTTCTACTTTCAAAGGTTACTAAAAAGCAAGCTGTGACTCTTTTAATCCCCCTGGCGGCCACCACTTGTAATTTACTGTCTGAACGAAAGGGCGGGTTGTAAGGGGAGTAGTTGGCCAATTGATGCTTTTCGTGGAACTAAGTCGGATCTATTTCTGTATTAGAGGGAAGCTGTCATGGGGTTGTCTGTGTGCATGTGTGTGTGTCCGCAGCAACTTGTCCGCAACTTTCAACTCGGAAACCACAAAAGATAGGAAGCTGAAAATTTAGGGTAACCTTCCCCACCCACGTGCGACCCTGCAAATTTAAATTCCGCTTCCCTGTACCCGCGGCTAACACGTACGGCTCCGTAAAAGTTTAGGCGGGTAAAATTATTATCACGGGAACCACGGAAGCTAGAGACTGAAATTTTGTGGGCATGTCCCCCGCAGGTGTGCTATCCAGAAAATGTAAATTCAGCTTTCCCTTGTCTGCGGGTAACATGCACGGCCCCTTGAAAATTTTTGTGGGTAAATTGTTATCTCGGGAACCACAGAGTCTAAGAAGCTGAGATTTTAAGGAAATGGCCCCCTGCTCACGAACGATCTTGCAGATTCAAATTCAGCGTTCCCGCGCTCTCGGTTATCACTTACGGGCCAGTGAAAGTTTTTGCGGGCAAACTATTGTCTCAGGAATCTCGGAAGGGTATTCACCTTTGCAGGCTTCAAATTCAGCTTTCATGCGCCGTTGCATAAAATTTTTAACTATTTTCCAACGTTTCAACTATTTTTGCACAGACTAAAGTACAGAGCAGTGAAAATCAATAGGTATTCGTTCGGAATTGCACAAAAAGCATGATCGCACCGGCTAGTCTGGTGTGCGTTGCCATTTATTTTTTTCAAATTCCGCTGCTTGTTTTCATGCACAGTTAACAAAAACCTTTAATTCGCCTTCAGTTTTAGGTTTTATAATTTACCCTGCTTACAGTATCATTTGTGAAAATCCGGATATTTCACTTCTTAAATTAAGCAAATATCAAAAAAAAAAAAAAAAAAATCAATTAATGTTATGAAGTGCAAAAGTGTGTTATTGCAGCAAAGCTAATTTTTTTCGGCCCATCAACTTTGGCATGAGTTTTACTTATGCCAATAAACGGTACATAGCTCTCTGAATAACTAGGTATGATGTGACCAGCATAACAGGAAATAAATTATCTTGACATTTTTTGATGGAGAATTACCTTGTAAAAGATGATCGCTGTGATGTAGCACGTATTTATGTTACTTGTTTACGAATGCAGCTCTGTTATTTATAGTTTGCAGTTTGTTGCCCAGAAAGTGGTCCTTTTTAGTTGTTTTTTTGAAAAAAACTTCATTGTAGGTTGCAACTATCCGGATTTTTGATGGTTTTTCATGTGAAGATTTTCATCCAAAACACAATCGGAAGTGTCCTCTTCAAACATTATCGGTGAAAGAATGTGAGCAGACGCCCGGAAATGATGAAAAGGAACACTGTGTACAGCAAGATGCCAAACATTCTGTATCCCAGGGAATGGTATATTCTGCAGTTCATGAAACAGACCAGTCTACATCCCAGGAAGCAGATCAAAATTCTCATGTGCAGGAAGAAAGCACTGTAGGTTTTTTTTTTGGATTGAGTTGAATTTTCCGGATTTAGTTTTCTATTTGTGTTTGTTTTCAAAAAAAAAAAAAAAAAAATGAGCTGTTCTCTTTCTTAACTTCTTCACTGTGGTTTTCGTCAGACTTGATTGCATCTGACGATAGTTCATTCGCGAGGCATGGTTTCTGA